TGATAAAATCTATGGCTATTACTGAACGGATGCCCCATGTTCAGACATCCCTGTTGAGCGGTGGGGCGCCAGTTCGCTAAGTTTTTACGTTTACTTCAGTAGTTTAAACTCATATATATATATATCATATATGTACATACTATATATAATATATAGTAACTATAGTATTACTACTCACGGTTGATGGGCTTTATTTCAACTTTTTTTCACCAACGTCAGTTTTTCAGGGGGCCCACTGGCCCAAAATTCTAAAATTCTGGGGTAAATTTATATAGCAACTTGAGTGGATACGACTGGATGGTCAACGTTAGTACCCTCTGGTGAACTAACATAGCTATTGAAAATGGCCATTTATAGTGGATTTTCCCATGAAAAATGGTGATTTTCCATTGCTATGTTAGTTCACCAGAGGGTAAACCCACAGATGAATCATTCATTCGCCATTGGCGGCCATGCTTCAAAATGAGCCTCTGGTATTTTGACGGTTAGAACCGTGGTTAAAATAAGGCTAACTTGTAGATGGTTTTCCGTTTTTGGACTATGGTCATTTTCCAACATAACTATAGATTATTGAAGATGGACCATTGAGTTCGATGATTTACTGTTATTTACCTATTAAAAATGGTCATTTTCCATTGCAACCTGTTAGACTTTCCCAAGGGTTACGTGGTGCCAAGCCGTTTACCAAGGCCGCGGCTGCCATCCCCGAAACCAAGGCAAGGCCTTTGTTGAGGTCACCTATTTCTATGTTAGTTACGCTTTTTATGGCTGATGAAACAAGTAAACTAGGTTTGGGAATCTTAGCTCTCCAGGGATAACATATCTGTTGGTTTATCGCCATATCCCTGTTGGTTTATCATTCTTTAGAATTGTAAGCTGGGAATCTTAGGCTACCATGCTAGGGATGTGTCAATACCTTTTTTGTTTTGCAATTTTTCATGGGATGAACATCCAGAAATCGCAGCTTTTTGTGCTATGAACAGACAGGTACCAAGGTATTGACACCCAAGAACTTTTTTTTTGAACCAACAGGAAGGGGCCCACAAGATTGGTAGGTTGGTTTAATATCTATAACATTCTAGAATAGCCTCTGGTAATTTTACATCACTATTGAAAATTGCGCATTTATAGTTGATTTACCTATTGAAATGGGTGATTTTCCATAGATATGTCAACGTTTACCAGAGGGTAGCAGATGGATTTGTGGTGCATAGATCATGTGTATCTACAATGTGGGCCCCCCCAGTTATAAGTTGGTTTATAAACCCCATTAACTATAGTTATAAGTACAATAAACCATAGTTATTTGAGTTATAAGCCAACTTAGCTATCTAGGGGGCCTCACATTGTATGTATATAGTTAGATGGGCTTAGAAACAAAACTTGGGGGCCCGTTCCTGAATGGATCACGCAAATATTCCACCCAGCTTCAAATAACCAGAAAACGTATAGAAAGCCCGGAATGTTTGTTGGTACCATCTGGTTATTTAACATAGCCATGGAAAATCACAATTTTTAATAGGTAAACCATCTATAAATGGGCCATTTTCCATGGCTATGTTAAATAACCAGAGGGTGCATGATACGGATATTGAGCATACATGATATGGTAGAATTTTAATGTACATGTAATGTACATGGTATTGAATTATCATATTCTATGTAATGTACATGGTACCATTATGGATAATACGTATGTATTTGTTTGGAAGAACATGATTATTAACATTGTTATTCACCATACTGTTCATGGCTAACGGTTCATCCCTGACCTTTTTTCGAATTGGCAGATTTCAGAGGGCTGTGCCCGCACGCAAATGGTTCATACAAGACAATACATGTATATATATATAATCTAGGAATATAGTATATGCTTAATGGTAAGTGCATGTTAATACCGTTTTATGCTTATGTCATATATGCGTGCCCCACTATATTATCATGATTATCTAAAACATAGGCAGATAAGGATCTATATACCCATCGTAAGGATTTCATTGCTGGGATGGATAACCATACCACATATACCATGTTTTGACCTTTTGGGTTCAATAATAAATAAAACTACGATGTTGAACATGGTGTATTAATAGCTATAGTTATTAAGAGTTACACACGTTGTCGAAATACCATGTTTTATAATAGTTTTTGAGAATGAAGCATATAATAATTGGTTGGTGGTTTGGAACATTTTTTATTTTTCCATATATTGGGAATAATACTCCCAACTGACGAACTCCATCATTTTTCAGAGGGGTAGGTATACCACCGACCAGATGAGGAATTATGTAACTCTGAAAGCCGGGTACCTCAAATCTTGATGTTGGCAAATCATCATGTTTCCCATTGTTTTTTTTGGTTATCCCAATGTTCAGACAAACCCATATCAACCACACACACACATTTTCATATATAGGATTATATAGGTATATGTGTATCGATGGGAATTTCAGGCCATATTTTGTGGGTATATTCCCTTACATAGCGCTTGTCAAGGCCTTATATTGTAGGCACCTCCAATTTAGGTCCCTAAAATGACCACATCCTGGAAGAACAACATTCTACAATGCGGCTTCCCTAGTCATGTTCGTTGTCGGTTGATGTTGGCCCATTCTTCTCCGTAGATATGAATCTACCCAAGTAGCAACAGGGATATTGACAAAATAAAACCAACGGAAAACTACTGGCATTAGATATTTCATAAACCACCCATGACTGGGAATGGTTTATACCAACTATAAAAATGGTTATTTGGGTGATGATTTATTATCTGGTTGGTGGTTTGGAACTTTTTTATTTTTCCATATATTGGGAATGTCATTATCCCAACTGACTACAGTAATATTTTTCAGATGGATGGGTATACCACCAGCCAGATTATATACATATATATATATATATTCCCAACACTAATATATTCCCATGATAAGATACATAATATTCCCATTATATCACTAAATGTTTTACCCACATTATCAATCACCAAATTTTGATGAAATCCCAACTTTCACGGCGAAGGAGGCACCGATCTGAAGGTCGCAGCAGGTCCAGGACACACTGACTTTGGGTGTCGGGCTGAGGAAGACACATAGGCCTGGAACATGGCAATGATCAATGTCCATTTTAATATCAACAATAGAAAATTAGTCAATCATTGATGATTAAAATAAAAGTTCTATAGTAATGATAGTTTAATATAATTATTCATCATATAATCAAATAACGATTCAAAATATTGTTAATGTGAAACGATTTTACTTATAGTTCAATCAAAGTTGTAGTTACTATTGATCATAAGATGATGTTTTTTTGAAAGCGATGGTGGCTTAATGTGGGTTAACCATCAATACTGTAGGACATTTTCATGGGATTTTTCACCTACCAATGGGATGAAAAACAAAGGGATAAAAAGTAAATTTGGAGAAGCATTTTCCGGAAATCCCTTGTAAATGGAGGATTGTTGATGGGAAAAAAACATCTACAAATGGATAAATTTCCATAGCAATACGTAACATTTGGTTTGGTAACCAATATCCAATGAGAATGGAAATGGGAATGGACATGGAAAACAAGGGGAACACCTATTTTTTACATTTTTTTACCCGATTTCATAAGCCTTTAGTGGGGACGGTTTATCAATGGGTTTACCCTCCGGTAGTCAAAAATGGCTGGCTAGGAAATCCCCGAACTTCTAGTGGTCTATAGCTGGGAAAATCATCTACAACTGGAGGATTATCCAGCAAGCCATGTTTGATTGCCAGAGAGTAAATATCTTTCAGACATGATAAATGTGGCACACATGGGTTATGTCTGAAACATAGCAATAATCCCTTCAACAGAACGATTATTCCGTAAATGAAGGGACATAAACTAATTAGTAATGTAAACCCTGGATTCATAAACCCCAAACGGCTGTTGAAACTTGGGGGTACCATAAAAAAGTATCATAGTGTGTCTATTTGGAGGGTACCCCACAATTAATTCACCGTGGTGGCCGCTGTGGCCGCTGTGGCCGTGGCCCCAGTTAGAGGTTGATACAGCCAGCTAAACATAAGTTAAAGATAGTTACAATGTGGGGCCCCCCAGTGATGATGTTTGGTTTATAACCACCATTAACTATAGTTATAGAGTTATAGTTATAGGTATCATAAAACATAGTTATTAAAGTTATGTTCACCAACTTAGCTATCTAGGGGGCCCCACATTGTAAGCTAGATCGATACCTACCCATCTAGGGGTGCCCTCCTTCGTATCTCAGTTGAATGATCAGTTGGCTTATTTCACCAGGCGAATCCGTTCAATGGGAATGTCAGGATCCTAAAATGGAGGTACGTTAGTACCATAGAAGGCCATATTTTGTGGGGATATTCTCTTACATAGGCCTAAAAAATAGGCAAAAAAAATATGGAATCGGTACCTCCAATCAATCGGTTCCTGTTGCATGGCCATTGATTAGTATTTTATGAATGGGTGGGGGTGCGCTTCCTTTTTGCACCCCCAATTCTTTCTATCCATCTAGGCGCAACGGATTCACCGAATTTCACCATGACCTTGCTTGAAGTTGGATGAAATTGGAAGGGGGTTCTTAAGCCATGGGGGATCCCCAAGTCATGGGTTAACCTATACCAAGTCATTCAGTCCTTCATGACGACTGGATGATTTGGGGTACCCCCCATGACTTAGGAAACCTCCATAAGGATCCATAAGGTATTACCCTCTGGTAAACGTTTACATAACTATGGAAAATCACCATGCTATTAATGCGTAGTCATCCACTATTTCGACTGGGCCATTTTCCAGTTCGCTTTTTCTAGGATGACCAGGCCGGGTACAAAAAATGCCAAGATCAGTCAGCCACGATGATCTGGGCTTCATGAAATACATCCCACTAATTATGGTCATTTTTATATGTATACATAGAATACTGTCTGTCATTGTGATATTATGATATAACATATTATATATTATATATTAGATATTATATATTATATATTTTTTGTATGCATAACTGTTTCAAGACAATACCAGGTGATCGCCCTGTTGCTCAACTCTATTGTTTCGCATGGGCTCAAGCGGTTTCCGCACTTGGAAACTGCTCTGAAAGGTTGGTGCACTTTCCACATCCCCCGGGATTCCGCAGAAAAACCATAGAGAATCGGATTGAATCACCGCTGACTGAAGCATTCTGCGAAGTGGATTTCGATTTTCAGATTCGGAATCTCTGGAAAGAGTTGGAAAGTCCCAACCCCTTCTCCGTTATTATGAAGCGCAGACCATCTGCCGGGCAATTGGTCCGCTCCTAAGACAGCGCAAACAGATTGGTGGAGAGTTGGTGACTGGGTCAACTATGACTAGAGTTATATGGATGTGTTTGAAAATTGGGCATACCCAGCAATTTTTGACAAGTTTAATGGGGAAACTGATGACCAAGCATAACATTTTTAAGGGTACCCTAGTGACAAAGTACATCCCGGTCCGTTGTCGGTTCTTGGCCATCCAGAAACTGTAAAAACAATTTGGACCACACCTGACATGGGTTTATCCAGAAATGGTGTACCCCCCACTCCCGTGGTTACTTAAAATATCTTAAAGTTATATATATATACCACAATTTTCACTTTCAAAATTGCCATATAGGGGAGGTAAATCACCATTTTCAGAGACTCCGCCCTGGTGATTGGTGATTGGGATACTGCACCCTCCAGTCCTTCATATTGCGCACTTCTACGCATGAAAATGGGGAACATGCACAGCTTTCTTTTGGTGTAGACATGCGTAGAAACATACGTGTAGACCCTCCATTTCTCTAGGTACCATCTGGTTATTTAACAGTTCGCCATGGAAAGATCCACCCATTTTTTAAAACGGTAAACCACCTATTTCTATGGGCCATGTCCCATGGCTATGTTAAATAGCTAGAGGGCCCCGATTCGTGACCTGTTATGAATATGACCATGTTGCAACCCATTTCTGTGTAGAATATATCCCAGTTTCACTTTAAGGCCCAAGAATCACTTATACTATATACAAATGAGCAGTGGCTGCTAAACCGGCTAAACCCCTGTTGGTTGATTAGTTGGGGGATCAACAACTACCCTTTGTAGATTGGGGATTATGATTATAATTAATCAACCAAGTAAATCAACCACAACTATAATTTGTAGGTTGGGGGATAAACAACTACCTTTATAATCCCCAATTATAATCATAATCCAAGAACGGGGAATCCCGTTCTTCACCGACCAGGATTTGTCATGGAAAAGTTCAGTCGCCATCGCCAGTTTTGTAGCAACTCCTAAGAGGTTCGTCATTGAGTCGTTGTAGAAATATGTTTTATCACCCAAACAATGGTTACAGGATGGGGCCCCCAGTCGATAGCTAAGTCAGCTAAGTTGCCTTATAAGTGGCTGAATTCTATGGTTTATGGTAGATATAACTATAGTTAATGGGTTTATAAACCAGCTTATAACTGGGGGGGCACCATCCTGTAATTATCTCTAAATTATATCTAAAATGGTTAATCCCGATAATAACGGTTAATCATTAGATAATATAAATCCTTTGTTATAGATAAACATCCCGCTAATTATATCCAATGATATCTAATGATTAATCCCATGAAAACTCCCAGTTCTCCATGGTAACATATTGTATTTGTGATACATATAATATACCTACAATCTGGTGCCCCCTAGATAGCCAAGTTGGTGCACATAACTTCAACAACTAACTATGGTTTATTATACCTATAACTATAGTGTTCATGGACTTTATAAACCAACAAACACAACTGAAGGGCCCCACATTGTGTATATATATATGAGATTATATCTAATTACATATATCTATATCCATATCCATATTATACATACATTATATATAAGATTTCTTCCCAACTTCCTTTGATAATATACAACATATATAAGATTGAGTCTGAGATTCATATCATATCTATGTATATATATATACGCAGCTACAATTCGTGAATCATCTTCCAAGTATTCCAAGCAGCGCAACCAAGGCCACAGGTGTTTTGCTCCTCTTGGAGGTCAGCCTTGGAACCAAGGCCATGGCGCGTTGCGGCGGTCAGCCACACTTATGGCCATGGCTATTATTGGTTATAAATGGATATTTCCTGGTTGGTGGTTTGGAACATTTGTTTTTTCCCATAATATATGGGATGTCATCCTTCCCATTGACTTTCATATTTTTCAAGATGGTTATTGCACCACCAACCAGTTTCATGTTGATGATTATATGGGACTATGGATGGTATTATATTCCGAATAGTATTATCAGGATGTCTGAAATAAATGGCTATTAGTTACAACTGGTGATTAATGGTGATCACTAATGGCTAATAGTGGTTAATGATGGTTATTTCTATGGTTGTTTCTATGGGATTAGACATGAACCATTATGGGGTTAGTGGCTTAGTACTTATAACTGGTATTTCGGGCCATAACTGTAAGTCATGGGGGTACCCCAAAATCATCCGAAATGGGTTACTGTCCGCACATTCACATTCCTTCATGTAACAGGCTTGCTCACAGGATCGCTCCAACCCAATATGGGTACATGAAAACCATAAAGAGCAAAAAAAAAAGGTGTTTTGACCCAAGTTAGCCCTCTTGCATCTGGGGTTTTAGGAGCAACCCGGTTGGATAGGTCTGAAGATGCTGTATATTTCAAAAACAAATACAATTGTAAGTTTCAATAGGACATATGCTCAGTAAGAAGTGCTTTTGTTTGTAGCCTATTTTCGATCAAACCCGACTTGGGTGCGGAACCCAAGAATCGTAAGTGGGTAGCAACTAATTACCTGACATAGCCCAGTGACATATGGTTGATATTATAGTGATCCATTGATGGGCTGGGTTATGAATCACTTACGATTCCTGGGATGCATGCCCAAAAAGACCCAGCAGAAACCCATAACATCGAGATACAATAAATCGCCTACCAAGAAATGTGGTACTTGTTCCTGCGTTTATGAATACGTTTAGGCTTTGGCGTTTTGTTTGTTGGCCCACTTTCATTTGTCCAAGACACCATCTTTTTGCTGCCTGTTGGTGGTTAAAATCATTCAATCATGATTTTTGCCACCATTGTACAGTATATATATAGTTGGTTTCTCTAGTTCATGTTCTTGTTGTTGCTGAAGCTTATTTGTAATTTTCGGACTGGGAAATGGATTTGGATGAATTTGGGCCATCTGGATTTGGAGAATGTCCAGGGGAACAAGTTGTTTTTTGATTCTGAAGCATATTCATGTTTTTCTTGGGAGCGCAGGTGGTCGTGAAACCGTCAATGCTTGGGTGTTGTTGGAATGAGACCATCAAAGAAATGAATGTTGACCAGCTCACATTGAAACGATCCAACAACACTGGACATTTCGCCAATAGAAAATCCGAGAAAACCTACTCAAACTGGTGCGCAATGAACAAGGAATGGTAAAATGGGGTTCTATCCCATACCATATGTGACTATAGGACCGACACATTTTCCCGAAGTGTGGCTAGTCCACACTTCTCTCAACTGGTAAACCTACCGAAGAACCAATATGCTATGTCAGAATGTGGTACACTTGCTGAGATTGACTTCCACTGGCTTGCTGTACATATATATATATATGATGGACAACTAGTCATCACCATCAAATGAAAGTAGGGATACCATCTTTTCCATCTTTTCCATCTATTTGGGGATGACTATATATATATACATATTATATGTATATATACTACGCCGGTTTTGATCTCCAGCCCGTCTCGAACTTCTAAAGCGGTGGCTGTTCACTGCTAACTCGAAGTTACTGGTAAGTCACATGAGTCACATCTTTCCAAGTCTGAGTTACTGTTTTTTCAGTTTTTTTTTTGTGTATTTATAGTTTATATTATATATACTATCTATACATACTATAATACTAATATAATATAATATAATATAATTTAATATGATATGATAGAATATAATTTCATATACTATAATATGATATAATATATTATAATATAATATATATATAGTGTGTTCTTTAAACATTTTTTTAATGCTCAAATCCATCTCTGCAGAGTTGGCAACAGGTGCACAGCAATGAAGGCCGGGATTCCGGTGCAGCATCCTTGACCTTGGAGATGTACTACAAATGGCGCTAAAATGGAAGTTAATCTTGGGACTAAAATCCAATTATATCCATTTATTGGGAGGTAATGATGGTCTAGGTATATGAACATCTATAAAACATATATATATACATCAACATAGAAGTATATTAAATATATATATATATAATGATATATACACATCAATACAGAAATATATAGAAGGTTTCCACATGGTTTACTATCCCGAAGATAAGATGATTCACCGCCTCTCTTTCCTTGCTAGGTTTTGGTTCAACAAGCCAGACATATCCAGACATGATATTCCTAGTTTTGTTTTGTTTTTTGTCCATGACATCATTGATGTCCTGGCCGAGAGATTTTGGAATGACTTTTCTCCAGGGTTGAAACGACTGACTTACCGTGAGGATGCTCTCAGCCTGATATTCTGTGAATCGGACGATAAGACGGTAAGACTTTCTAATACTTTCTATAGTTGGTAGTTTATTTTTCAGTCCATGTGGAAACAATACAAAACCATACAATACCCAAGTTTTCCATTGACTGTTTTAAGGGACGCTCAAATTTGTTGCTTATGATTCGCGAACATATCATCCTTCATCAGGTTTCGAAAGGCGGCTTGAATCCTTACCTGTGCTACATACGTTGTTGTATAACCATCAATGGGAATTCCAGGATCCTAAAATGGAGGTACTGTACCATATAAGGCCATATTTTATGGGATATTCCCTTACATAGGCCTAAAAAATACATAGGCCTTATATATGGTAGGTACCTCCGGTTTAGGTTCCTGAAATGGCCATTGATATTGCTATGAGTGTCAAGACCCCCCTGATGGTACCCTACAATAGATGGTTAATGGATGTTTATTCCCCGGGTCAGGTCATATGGTAACAATAAGTTTTGACCCATCTCATCCCCTCTCCATATTACACCCCACTTAGATTAACGGATTTTCTCCAGTTAGACTAATTGGACTAGTGACTTTCTTATGGAATTTAAACATGTATAGACATGTATAGCCACTTACGATTCAATTCTTGGCCCACACATCCGGCTGTAACGCCCCGAGAAGGGGATCATCCAAAATCCCGTGCAGAATCCCGTGCGACATTTTTTTGTGGCTGAAATCACATGATTTTTGCGGATTAAATCACCATTCTTGTTCAAGTTTTTTGTCACAAGTTGTGTCACTATGTAAGATTTGCGGGTTAATCCGCCTTTCTAAAGGTTCAGTCCCCCATCCTTCTTGGTTAAATCACCATCCATATCCATCCATATCCCCAAGTCAGTCACTGAATACTTACGGTTAAATCACCATATCCCGAGATCAGATCACTATGAAATAAAAGATTTTCTAAGACCATATCCAAAAAAACAATAAAACACATCCATATCCCAAGAAATCACTATTACCCAAATGCTCCATGGTGCTGGTCTATTTACCTACAAAACTGGGTTATTTTTGGGGTACATGTTGATAAATATTCCAGCACCATGGAGCATATGGATTTTGTTAATGACCAATAGAATTAGCTTATATTCATAGTTAGTATACTTACTGCATTGACTAGTAGTAGTTAAGTACTGAGTTATGGTTGCTCGAGTTTCCCCTCGTTTCGAAAAAGGCGTGTCGCCGTGCCGCGTCGTGCCGCGTCGTGCCAGGCATCGATGTTGCCTTCCCCAGAACTTCCATTCCTCCTTATTTAAGGAATTCCTCCTTAAAATTCCTCCTTAAATTAAGGTGGAATTTTTGAAAAAATCCTCTTTAAAATTCCTCCTTAAATTTTCAATTGCAAGGAGATCTTGCACCTCCTTCAGCAGGAGACTTGAAACCTCCTTATCCCAGATCCTGGCAGCAAAACTTTTCACTTCAGCTCTGGAATCACTTGTGCTCGAAAACTTTGCAGAACACTCATGCCTATGGAATAAGGGTTGTGGCTTCCACCTTTCACAGCTCCTAAGTGAGCTAGGAAGCCACCAAAGTCTTCGTCTCGATATATCCAACTGTCTGATGGACAAGAGTTCTGGAGCAATAAATCTAAGAAGCTGTGGTGCTTTGGTTTGATCTTCCAAGTATGGTCAGTCTCGTTTTCCAAGCTCTTGCACAACAGCAAAAACTTTCTGCCATGCAGCAGCATTGACTGGTGATTCCATAGATTCTTGGACAAGAAAGAATAACATTGCCACAGTTCTGTGGCAGCCATCTTGATTGTATATTCAAGCACATTGTCATCAGCCAAAAATTCATCGCAGATTTGTTTTGCAAAAGTAATCAACCCTCGAGCTTCTGCAGCTTTGGCTCGAAGTTTTGGACTTGAACTGGCTTTCTTTCTGATCATGACGACGGTCAAAGTAGGAAGCTTGTTTTCCACACCTTCAGTCTTGTAGTAGCTTTGAATTCTGTGGAACAAGCTTTTCACCCTTTCTTTGACATTGTTGCCAGGCAAGTGATTTCCAGAGGCAAACCCATGGTGAAAAACATTGCCCATAAAATCTTCTGCCCCGCCCAAGTCCACAATGTGAAGCCAGTCCAAAAGAAATTGCTTGCTTGTCAGTCCTGGTGTTTGAAACAATTCATTGATGTCAATGCCAGAATTGGAAATGGATTGCAACAAAGTGAAATGGTCCAAAGGATCAAATGCCTTGCAGCTTTCAAAGTTTCGAATTTCAATTGGTTTGCACAAGCACAAATGGCAGCATCCTTGTTTGTCTCGCCATCCAAGAAATTGGAAAACTTCTTTTCTCATAGCCCAATCACCTCTCACTTCAAGTAAAAAAGCAGTGAAAGGCAATGCCTTGCGATTGAATGTGCTTCGTTTTTTGTCGCCTGGGTGCCAAAAGCTGCCATCATGCCTTGCTGAAGGCCGAGTGCAATTGGCTAAGTGAATAAAAGACCAAGACAAAATTCCCAACATCTTCGACAAAGTTACTCCCTTGATGCACCAGTGCTTTGGAATACAGCACAAAGGGATTCGCAAAGTACCATTAGGTGGAAGTAAGCCAGGAAAATTCAATGAGATGCATTCCAAAGTTTGACTTCTGTCATAATTGTAAGGTGTGCCATCGATCCAAAGGCCAAGTCCTATGGCTTCTCGAACTTCGAACTGCGTTTGCATGTTCGCCAAATGTTTCTTGCTGAGTTCACACATGCCACCAGTCTGCAGCAAGTCTTTCTTCTCAGAGCGCTTCGAGAAGACAAAAAGAATCTCATGTGGCAAAAGAAAAGGTATCTTCTTCATCTCTTCTGCTTGTGTTCCAGGATTGTAGCAAGGGATCAATGCAATGTATTCATTGAACCACAGGCAATTCTTCAACATTTTTCTTTTCATATCCCTTGCCAAATTCTTTTCCCAATTGGCTTGCTTCTCACCACTGCCAGATTTCTCTGCACCTTTGACCAAATCTTTCACACCAGTGGCTCCAGCTATTTGTGCATCTTTCATGAGCTCATTGGCTCCTCTAGCAGAGACAGTCTTGGTCAAAAACAAATTGGAAACATTGTGTCGAAACCTCTGCTGGTCAGGTTCCCTAAGGGTAGACAAATCTACCTTTCTCTTTTGAAACATGGCTTGAGCTGGAAAACATGTCAACATAAAAGTTCATAAGATCTCAGAAGACAAGAAGTTGCACATTGTATTTAGTTAATGCTAAATTTGGCCAATGCTTTGAAACAGGGAAACAGTAAAGGAGATCTTACACCTCCTTGTGTCTTGTACACCAGCTTAGAAGCAGGCTCTTTTTCCAGCGACAGTTACCAGCTGCGCATCTTCCAAGCAGATCCCTGCGATATTTTAATCTGCATTTCCACATTCCAAGACTGACAACTGCACCAAATGCGCTTTCCAAAATCTAAGGGCCAAACAGCTCCTACAGCAATGCCTGGTGAGTTTTCACCTTGGCTTTTGCTTCTTGCAGCTTCTCTTGGCTGGAAGCAAGCCATGCTTTGGCAGCAGGCAATGATTTCGAAAGGCTTTCAGGAGAAGTGTCCTCAGGAGCAAGATCTTCACTGGCTGCGACATAGGATCTTCACCTCTCTTGAACAAGCACTGCCTGAGGTAAAGTGCCAAATACTTTGTAGTTGCGCATTCCTGGGTTGGGCCACAGGTTCAAGGATCTATGTAATTCTTTTCTCATCAAGCCAGCTTTATCAACAGAAACTATGAATTTCATCCATGAATAATGTGCTTACAAGCCTCAGATGTTCTCAGGTACTCATAGTGCTTCAAAAGCTTCTTTGTTGGCATACATTTGATCATTGCGATCTGCTTGTCCATTGGGTCCACAGGGTTCTTCTCAATGGTGGCCAGTGGCTGCTTCCTCCATGGAGGCAGTTCCTTTGGAGGTTCCATCGAACCTTTCATTGAAAACTGAAAAGTGTAATGATGAAGTAAGTTGGGATGTCTATGAATCTCCAGTTCCAAATCCAATGGTTTCTATTTTGGATCCAAAGTGATTTTTATTGGAGGTTAAAATTGGTTAAAATTAAAATTGCCGATTTTAATTTTAACCTATCCTGCCTTTAAAAGTAATACATAAACTGGTTAAAATTAAAATTGGCAATTTTAATTTTAACCAATTTGACCTCCTTATTTGTCCAATTTGAAACCTTTACAGTCATCATGCATGACCTGAATGACTTGTATCCAGCGTTGCCAAGAGCCACTCAAACAAAGGAAATGGATGGGCATCAGCTTCGGCCAACGAGATCTTGCACCTCCTTTTTGATTCCAGTATTGGACACTAGTGCAATGATTGTGATACCGCAGGTTCAGGTCATCAGCTCTCATCATCATTCCAAAGCTGATCATGTGCATCCACCAAGGCTTCAAAAATGATTCTACAGGTCCATCACCACTACATTGATCAATATGACTTGACAGCTTCAGCCATGCAGAAATGCTCACATCACAGATATCATGTTTTACTTAAATTTAAATTTAGTTTATCAAGGAGATCTTGCACCTCCTTAAAGAGTCGCTTGCGCCTAATCTCCAATCATTTTTCCAGGGAAGCTCAATGGACTCAATCTACATTTGAATCCTCATCCTCTTTGGGTTTTTCGGCTTGCTCTCCAGCATCAATAGATATTTTGAGAAAGGAGATCTTGCACCTCCTTTGTAAAGATGAGAACCCTAAAACATAAATTGCAATGCATTAAAGTGCAATTTATTGAAAGCCTGGTTGCAGTGCAGGTTGGATTCATGCAGCACCCATTTCGCCAATACGCTTCTTTCCCACAAATTGTGCATGTTCTCAAGTAGCTTGTAGAAGGCGAGGTGGCAGGCGCTGGGGTACTTGGAGGGGGCATTGGAAGGACCATTGGAGAAGCACCTGGAGGGTCATGAGAACTTGGAGGGGCACCTGGAATAGGTGCTGGAGGAGGTGTATTTGGAGGTGGTAAAGGTTGCGATTGGGCATTGACATGAGGTGTCAATGCCTGGATCACCTGGTTTTGTAGCCTGATCAGCTCCAAAACACAGTCAATCTCCTCATCTCCAGGCCTCCTGCGAGAGGAACTTGACTGTCCAGCTTCCATAGCAACAGCAAGAAAAAAATCGAGCAGTGAAACAGGAGCTAGAAAGCCAAAGCAGCTTCAGTTGCAAAATTCATTCTCAACACTGCAATTTCCATGCCATTCCAAATTCCAGACAAAACTTCTCAAATCCAGAATTCCAATCCAACATTAAACATTAAAGCCACATCCTATGAAAGTCTATAAGCCATTTTTGAAATCCACCCAGACACTAAACGCTCAAGTTCCAAATGTCAGGAGATATTGCACCTCCTTAAGACAGAAAAGTGGAAAGACTATTTCCTATTTTCCTATAGAGAACTCTCAGGAGATTTTACACCTCCAGGAAACATGCAACAGAAATCAGCAGCCATTTTTTTTGCAATTTCATCCAATCTAATCCACATCCTGTCCAACCTTCCACTTTCGAATTTCCTCATTCAAAAATTCTATCACAGATTGTTCAGTAGCACCATTGTGCAAATCAGCAATGCATTTCTGGGCCAAATCCAAGCCAACTTCTCTTGAAATTTTGTTCAAAGTGAAAGATTTGATTTGTTTCTTGTCTCCAAAATTTCGTCTGACACCTAAAGCACCATACTTTCGACTGCCTTTGGCAGGATAATCTTCCAAGCGATATTCAGGAGATGCCAAGTCAACAGCAGCAGGTTCAGGATCAGCAACTGCAACAGCCGGCCGAGCTTCAACATCCTCTTCTTCAGAAGTGCCAAGTACTGCTTCACATGCAGCACGCTTTTGCAAGATTGCAGCAGGCCTTTTCAAGACTGCAGCAGGCCTTTTCAAGACTGCAGCAGGCCTTTTCAAGACTGCAGCAGGCTTTTTCCCACCTGCAGATTGCCTATAGATCTTCAAAGATTCATTGGGAATTTCAGATTCAAATTTATTTTCACCAAAAGCAGCAATCGCAAAGCCATTTGGTCCTCTTCACTCATAGTAGCTTTCTCCACCTTGCTATCCACAAAGCGACATACCACCATGGCAGTAGAATCGATCCAGGTTCCAGCACTCACAGGCTTCTTAGGACTCGCTTGGCTCTCTTCACTCGACACTTCTATCAATTGATGCTCTTGGCTATCCAATGTTTCTGAGCTGTGGCCTGGAGGAAATTTTTGCAAAAGTGGTTCATTCAGAGGCAACTGTGGGATGGAGCTCGCATTGGAACTTTGTCTCATGAGCCTTCGCTTGGCAATGGCTTTCTGAACAAACTTGCCTTTCTGCCGGTTCCCATGGAATTCTGAGCACTCCAGATAGATCTTCACAAGCTCACCCATCCAAGGCTCATATTTCTTACTTGAAATTGACCATTTTGCTTTTGTTCTGATGTGTTGCACACATTCGACAATTGCAGAAGACCACTTCTTCGCTTCGTCACTCAAAGTGCGAGGGCTGACTTTCAAGGCAGCTTCCTTCAAGCAGTCTTTGGATGGTCGAATTGTTTTCTGGAACATCAAGCCCAGAAATTTTCGATAATGCTTGCAAACTTGATCAATTTCAACATCCAAGTACTCCTTAGGATCCAAACAAGCCACCTCTGCTTTCAAACATTTGCAAAGGTCTTGAACAGAAGCAGTGTTCTTAGCTCTACTCATCTTGAGAAATCAACTGCAGATGCGATGCACAAACATTACATGCAGGAAATCAAAACACCAAAAGGAGATCTTGCATCTCCTTGAAGCAACCTCCAAAGGTTGGTCTTGATGCAATGATGATGTCAAAGATGTATCTAAAAACAGTGAAAAAATCATCCTTAAAAAAAAAAGGATGAATTTTCAAAAAAAACACCTTAATTAAGGATAATTCCTCTTTAATTAAGGTGGAATTCCTTAATTAAGGAAAAATCCTCCTTAATTAAGGGAATTCCTCCGTAATTAAGGTGGAATTCCTTAAAAAAAAACTCCTTAAATTAAATAAGGAGGAATGGAAGTTCTGGGAAGTCATTCTTTGATTTGGCTGCTGAAGAGAACGAACTGATATCTTCAGGGAGCAGGTCTAGGATTGAGGCAGACCACGACACTGTTATGCAGATCCTCGGGATCAAAGCCAGGCTCGCAGCCACGTACTGCAGTGACAGGCCGGCTGACTGGTGCTTATAGAGCGTGTCCACAGGGCCAGAGTGTTGAACGTCGCGACTGGCGAGGTGGAGACCTGTTCTGACGAAGCCTGGGCCCACTTTTGCGACCGCCGGTTCGCCTACATCAGTAGACAAGATTTTGGGTACTGCTGGGTCCGAGGAGTGGGCGTGATGGACCTTGATTTCTCGTACGCGAAGGACGCAGGCAAAGAATCCTACAGAACTCAGCCAGGAGACCCACCGAGGTATGGGGAAAAGCCTCCAGAAACGAGAGGCATGCTCCAGTACCTGTACCACGAAGGGAAAGATGAGATGGAGAAGACCCTCGAGGCAGCCGTGAATGCAAACCCCGACTGGATGGTATACACTCACCTTTCTAAAAGTTCAGTGAGATTTTGGAATGACTTTTCTCCAGGGTTGAAACGACTGACTTACCATGAGGATGCTCTCAGCCTGATATTCTGTGAATCGGACGATAAGACGGTAAGACTTTCTAATACTTTCTAGTTGGTAGTTTATTTTTCAGTCCATGTGGAAACAGTACAAAACCATACAATACCCAAGTTTTCCATTGACTGTTTTAAGGGACGCTCAAATTTGTTGCTTATGATTCGCGAACATATCATCCTTCATCAGGTTTCGAAAGGCGGCTTGAATCCTTACCTGTGCTACATATGTTGTTGTAAAACCATATTGTTATGAGTGTCAAGACCCTGGCACCCTGATGGTACTCTACAATAGATGGCAATGGTTAATGGATGTTTATTCCCCGGGTCAGGTCATATGGTAACAATAAGTTTTGACCCATCTCATCCCATCTCCATAAAAAAACACCCCACTTAGATTAACGGATTATCTCCAGTTAGACTAATTGGACTAGTGACTTTCTTATGGAATTTAAACATGTATAGACATGTATAGCCACTTACGATTCAATTCTTGGCCCACACATCCGGCTGTAACGCCCCGAGAAGGGGATCATCCAAAATCCCGTGCGGAATCCCGTGCGACATTTTTTTGCAGCTGAAATCACATGATTTTTGCGGATTAAATCACCATTATTGTTCAAGTTTTTTGTCACAAGTTGTGTCACTATGTAAGATTTGCGGGTTAATCCACCTTTCTAAAAGTTCAGTCCCCCATTCTTCTTGGTTAAATCACCATCCATATCCATCCATATCCCCAAGTCAGTCACTGAATACTTACGGTTAAATCACCATATCCCGAGATCAGATCACTATTACCTTTAAATGCTCCATGGTGCTGGTCTATTTACCTACAAAACTGGGTTATTTTTGGGGTACATGTTGATAAATATTCCAGCACCATGGAGCATATGGATTTTGTTAATGACCAATAGAATTAGCTTATATTCATAGTTAGTATACTTACTGCATTGACTAGTAGTAGTTAAGTACTGAGTTATGGTTGCTCGAGTTTCCCCTCGTTTCGAAAAAGGCGTGTCGCCGTGCCGCGTCGTGCCGCGTCGTGCCAGGCATCGATGTTGCCTTCCAAGAGTTCATGGCGCGCCATGGTCGTAGCTACCTCCACGACTCTCAGGAGATATGGGGGATATTATGGGTGATATATATAAGGGTATATAATAATTATAATATAATATATATATATATATTTATATGTATATTGGATATGGGGGATATACTTGATAATCCCCAAACATCCCACATCCTCTGGTTATTTAACATAGCTATGGAAAATGACCCATTTATAGATGATGTACCTATTTAAAGTGATGATTTTCCATGGCTATGTTAAATAACCACAGGGTATGTTTTTTTTGTTGGGGAAACAATAGGATATAGTGGCATGATAGATTGGGCATTATAATTATATCCAATATAAATGGGATCTAAGGACGATATGGTATCTGTGTTGTTTTATTGACATGGGAAGGATAGTTTCATTATCCTCTGAAACTATGATTCCCCTCTGGTAAACGTTTACATAACTATGGAAAATTACCATGCTACTATATAATGGGTAAATCCACGAACTAAATCACCATTTTCAATAGCAAACTGTTAGTTTACCAGAGGGTAATATGGTGGTTTCCCGCAGCAAACTGGGAATCTTCAGATGTGCGGTGGGAAAATTTGACATTTTGCGCTCCAATTTGGGTAATTATGGGTACAGTATATCAACCATGTTAAACGGCTGAAATGTAACGACGTCACAACGACATCCCTATAGCTTAGGGTTAGTAGTGCACACCCCATTGAACCTTATTAAAGCTTGGTGAATCATTGTAAAGTGGCCAGGATGACTTGGGGATGTACTAATATATACCGACAATGGGAATCACTATTGGTATCTATTGGTATTATTATGTAATATTCATGCATTCATTGTGCATTTAAATGATATATTTGAGAAAATATGGTGGGTTGATGATTAGACAACTATCAGCTGTGAAAACAGCAGGATATAATGGGATAATAGATCGTACATTGAAGTTACATTGAATATGTATGTGTGTGTATATATATATAGACATACTGGGAAGGATATTTCATCATTTGTATTGGATCGAGTACACAGATTGGAATAGAATGTGATATATTTATGTATATATATATATACATATGTTACCAAAAAAATAGAATATGCTGGTCAAAAAAATGACTGGATGGCTAGTGTAATAGAACTTAGTAATTAGCGACAAACAGGATCATATGAGCCCTACCGGCTTAAAGAAAATACAGGGAATCGGAGATTGGCCATGATCAATCTTCGAACTGAAATGGATTGGGTGGCCATGCAATTTTAATCTATACACAAGTTATGTGATTTTATGTGTATGCATACGTCTAATTACGCTTCATATTTCAGTTGCATAATATATATGTATATATACATATATATATTTATAGAGCCACCGCAAAAACCCGGGCAGTACTGTACTAAATATATATTGGACGGACATTGGTTTATGGAAATTGATGGAAATTGTTAAAAACACGCAGTAAGCGATGGGACCTTCCAAATTAGCGATACCCCTTTTCAAGGTTATGTCATTGTATTTCTCTAATATCCACATTAGCGATACCCAAATTGGACGCTGATGTCTGTGAATTATAAGTATATAAATGTAGCAGTTTCCTGCAAGCGATACCCCCCAAGTTTACCACATATCATTATTGTACAAACGTGTGGTAAGCGATGGGACCTTCCCAAATTTGTGGATGTCCTTTCCGTGAATCCTATATAGGGTTTTCGAGATTGTTCATATATATATACATAATATATATAACATAATAATATATAATATAATACAATATGATATGATATAATATGATATGTAATATGCTACAATATGATATGATATAATATCATATAATATAATATAATATGATATAATATAATATAATATAGTTTAGTTTGATTTGATACAACATGATATTATATGATATAATACAATATAATATAATACAATATATTATGATATATAATACAAGTCACGTCGTATCACTAAGGGTAAACTGCCCACAGGAATACCTGGAGCGACGGGAACTCTTTGCGCAACGTCGAGCGGAGGTCATGCAGCAGAACAACAGGCGCCCACAATGGGGGTTCCAAGAGGGAAAACATGGGGATTTTCATGGGATTATAGTTATTACATATATATGTATATATAAAGCCAGTTACTATATAGACATCAATAATTGGAACATCTTGTATATATATATATATAAATAAAGCCAGTTATTGTATAGCCGCCAATAAATGTATTATATATATATATCACATTAATATATTAATATATAACCATCAAACATTGGAACATATTATTATTATATATATATGTAAAACCAATTGTTATATAACCAACAATAATTGTAACATATTATGACCAGCAACAATTGGAACATCTATATATATATATAACCAGTTTTATATAACTATCAATTATCAATAATTGGAATGTTGAACATTTGAGGATTAGATCCGATCGTTGCCCTGAGGTAATACGGAAAAATGTGAAACAAAAGACACTGGAAATCTCAGACATGCAGACCATTTTCCGAACAGGAACCCATTGATTTTCAACGAATCTTCGTTGGTTTACCATGCCGTTCAAGTCCTCAACTCCATCAACATCGCCTTATCGCACTTCAAAATGCCTCCGGTCCCATGGACGTCCTTGCTGGACGCCAACAACAGTTCTTATTGCCATTTATTGCCAGAATGAGATGGCACGAAGACTCGCAGGCAGGCGTTCGCAAGGTAGGGTTTTTCGTTGTGTTCGGTTGCTGGCTGTTCTCATAGCTAGTATTCTTTCATGATTGAAATGATGATTTTTCGGCACTCGGGGATCTCGGAGTGGCCCGGAAACTGAATTTGTTTCACCCATGCTCTACCTGGTCGGTGGTTTGGAACATGAATTTTATGACTTTCCGTTCAGTTGGGAATTTCATCATCCCAACTGACGAACTCATATTTTTCAGAGGGGCGGCTCAACCACCAACCAGCTACTGACTGATCACCCCGGGGATAAGTGGTTGATCACCAGGGGGGGATAAGCCCCATCGGCTTCTTCGTGGCTAAGTCCCATCTAAATACTCGTAGCCACAGGATGGTGACCCCCCAGTTATAACTAGGTTTATAATTCCACCTAACTATCATTATAAGATATTATAACTTATAATACTATCATACACTACACTCTTATTATTATACACTATTATTACAATAGAATTTATAAGTATCATACATACTATATTATTATTATAGTTATAAACCAACTTAGCTATCGAACTGGGGCCCCATCCGGTGATAACCCCACATTAAACTGTTGAATTTAACGTAGCGATGAAAAATCACCAGTTTTAATAGGTAATTCACAATGAATCATCTATCAAATATCTATACATATAATTATATACCAGCTAAGCCAGAAATGTTGAAAAAGTTACCTCCCCCAAAAAAAGAAACATTTTTTTGGATTTCTCGCAATTCTCCGGGTTGATGGGGAAATTCTCGCCTCAGTCCTGATTTCTCGCAACTCTTCTTTTTTACATCGCGTTTTCGTCCCCCAGTAAGTGATGCCTCATAGAGGCCAAATAGAGGTCATACGTCCTTTGGACGGTAGTCTTTGGCGACACACACCTTGAATACCTAGAAATGACCCCTACAAAAGATTCATCAACCTGGCACCCATCGACCAGTGGTGATTCGCACCACTCATGATCCATGCTCCACTGCTGCAAAAAACGGTATCCGTGGAAAAGCATGTGCAGCTTAGGATGTATTGGGTACCTAGGTTCGCAAAGCTGCACAGAAATCAAAGCCAATCTCTTGTTGGCACGGACAGAAAGCAAACCCCTATTGGCAACTTCTGCCGCTACTGTGCAATGTAGCCACGCTCCATTGTGGTAAAGTAGCCTGAAGACTTCGTTGACGTTCCGGGTCACCACTGCAATGAGGGGAACTCTGCTGTCCAGTTCAGCCAGCTCATTCACCACATCATCCGTCAGGAAACTTTCCATCCATTCCTTCCGCTGCGTGCGAACTTGAACATAACTTAAGTAAGCAGACTAGTGAAAAAATCACCCAGACTATTGATGACTCAGGTGAAGAATAGTCTATGAATGTTTATCAGTTTAAGTGCGTATTTTAAAAAATACTTGTTTATTTAAACTGTAAAATCAAATTTAAACTGTAAAAAAACATTAAACTCTAAATCGTTTACATCAGAAATAATAATGCCAACCCCGCATTAATAAACCATTGCTTATTAATGTTTATTAAATAGGGGTCTGCTAATACTAAATGGTACCCTCCCAATTAAACAGCCTAGGGGTTTATTAATCCAAAGTTGACATTACCCATCAATCTGCCAAGACTCCAAGAGCAAGGTGGTCGTTGCACCTTTTTGCCACCCTCCTTCCGGCCAGTCCAGGGACGTTTTGAAACCCAAAGTGTCACGGCCAAGCTTGGTCAAGTACGGGCGCTCCTCAATCACAAGCATGTGAACTAATTAATGGAAACATAAAATAGACCTGCACCCCAAGAACATATAAAACATTTTGCGTTGATATCAGCACCCGAAGAAAACATAAAGCATTGGATGTTTTAGAATCTAGTATCTTTCTTGGACCTGCAAAAGTCTCGCCACCGAGACGTCATTGATGCAAACCTGGCATCTACCCCACCTCCAGGAAAAAGCAACTCAAAATTTTGCAGAACCACCAGCGAGCTGGAGATGAAATACTTTCCAGCACCCAAATGCCAATTATGGAATATATCAGGGCGAAGTAACCAACCAGGCATGCTTGTCTGACTCGGCAGCATGGCCACAAACGGAGAGATGGAGTCCCAAGGAGATTGCGCCTTAGCATTTGCAACCAAACTTGCAAACCATTACTTGGGAGGAGAAAAACTTGCAAAAAAGTTTGTAACATATGGTAAACCCCCCTGGTCCCAATTGAACCACTACCCATTCTACATGAAGTATGACAGTATTTACAGTTGAAGTGTAAGCTGAGGAACTGCTGCGCTGTACATGGTCGCTTCGAAGCTGGGGGATGCACTAAAGTCTTCAAAAGGAAAGCCATGAACTCCTCCAAGACATAGGTGGCACACCCCGCCAGCCACCATGGTCGATTCCCCCCTCTTGGGAGCTCTTCTAAAGTGCCTGGAAAGGTGACCTGCCTCTATGAGCCAAGGCCAATCCCCCTTGACCCCCGTCACCGCGAGACGCAATGTTGCCACAGCTTCGCCACAATGAAGGTCAATTCCATGTCTCATCAGGTTGACCAAATCGGAAGCCACCAGCTGCATCCCGTCGTCCAAAGCTTCTGGGCAATCGGAGTAGGTCTCTTTCAGTGCCGCGAATGACAGAAAGCGACACAATTCCTGAGGCAGCATGTATATAATTTGGGAAAGAAAGCGTTACCTGGGTTCCATTATGCCCATGGCTCAACAACAGAAAAGAAAAATGGGCATGTGCAAGCCACGAAACAGGGTGTCCAAGCCTGCAGTATGGTTGCACGGTAAGAAAAAAATGCAAATCTAAGTGGCGTGTGTATCGTTGCAAAAAAAATGAATATCAAATTGATTTCCAACTGCAGCTCAAGCAACATGTTCAAGCGTTGGCTCAAAACCTGCTCTTTCACAGGTGTATTTACGGTCTTGCTCGTCCCTCGGCCAAGGACTGGCTGCCAGTTGATCAGCATTATGGGTGATTTCTTCTTACCTGCAGAGAAGAATGTAGAAACTGTAGCAAAATAGACATGCTAAAATTTGGGGAACACAAAAATCAAACAAAATGCATAACTAAACCGTATAAGAGTCTTCGACCTTCATCTCCATGAATTTTCACCGGCAGAGTCAGCTGGAGCTGGTCGTTTGTCAGGATGTCGAAGATGTCGTGGTCCGGGTAAAGTTTCCGAAATCGGTCCCAATAAATTGTCAGATGCTGCTTCGAAGCATCCAAGGTAGCCTCTGGCAGGATGGTTCCCAACTGATTCCAGCGATGTAGAGCTCGAATCATATCACTTGGCTTGAGCCATGGGTAACCTGCAAAAACAATGGAGCAAGGACAGAATGCTGGAAAACAATAAGGATCAACCATGACAAACCAAACTTGGAGCAAAACAAACATGAGGGAATTGGTTTTAACAGTGCGACAAAGTAGCGTTGATCACCACCAACTTTACCATAGCTCATAGGCACCGGCAATCTCAAAGCTGCCTCATCCAAGGCTTTGAAGCATTCCCGTGCCTTCAGCGACAATAAGTTTTGAAGGAAAGAAAATGCAGAGACACCATTTATTGAAAAAAAATGCTGTTAATTAAGTGCAGGTGCTGCATGTTGAGACCCTCGGGCAAGTCTCTGCAACACCTTGTCATCTCGGTTGATCCCAAGCCTCTTGTCGTCCTCCAGAACTGCTTTTGCATGTTCTGCAAGTTGGATTGCAGGAGCCTCAGTCGGAGCTGATAATATAGCAAAAACCAACAGGAATTCAACTATAAGTCAAGCATCATTGATCTATCCAACTTTTAAAGGTAAAAGAGCTGCGAACTTCAGTGAATGGCACTCTCATTTTTTTCACTCATTTCAAAGCTGGTAAAGAAGCACTCACCGATGCCATTTAGCTGGTGAAAAAGTGCGATTCCGTGGCCCCTGAACGGTTCTGCAGGGTATTCCATATCTCTTCTAAAGAGATGGCTCGGCCAAGATATCCTAAACTCATAATTTCACTAATTTCAAAGCTGGTAAAGAAGCACTCACCAATGCCATTTAGCATGCTGGTGAAAAAGTGCGATTCCGTGGCCCCTGAACGGTTCAGCAGGGTATTCCATATCTCTTCTAAAGAGATTGCTCGGCCAAGATATGGACACTTTTGTCCTAAACCTAAACCTCATTGATAATGTGCCACTCATCGTCGTGGGTTCCATCCGCAGCACGCTCCTCCATCTCAACGTCGGGATCAAGCCATCGAAGGACCTCGGCCACAAATTGACCTTGCACCAGCTGGAACTGCCATCTGCTGAAGTTGTGAACCGTAGGAGACCAAAAGATCCTCATAAGGTCGAGGTCTATCCAAGCGACG